AGATTGAGGGTCGGTTTTTGACCTATAGATGTTCTCAGAAGAGTTTTTACAGAGGAGAAGACAGCCTCACAGATTTTTTTTTTTTTTTTTTTTTTTTTTTGAGGTAGGGTCTTGCTCTGTCTCCGAGGCTGGAATACAGTGGCCTGATCTCGGCTCACTGCAACCTCCATCTCCCAGGTTCAGCGATTCTCGTGCCATAACCTCCCAAGTAGCTGGGACTACAGGTACGCACCACTGCACCTGGCTAATATTTGTATTTTTTGGTAGAGACAGGGTTTTTCCATCTTGCCCAGGCTGGTCTCAAACTCCTGGCCTCAAGTGATTCATCCACCTCAGCCTCCCAAAGTGCTAGGATTACAGACATGAGCCACCGTGCCTGGCCAGTCTCAGAGATCTTAATCACTCAAGATCATACAGCAAGGGATTGGGAGAGCTGAGTTTGTTTTGTTGTTTCTGTTTGTTTGATTGAGACAGGGTCTTCCTCTGTCACCTCCAGGCTGGAGTGCAGTGGTGCAATCACGGTTCACTGCAGCCTGGACCTCTCATACTCAAGCAATCCTCCTACCTCAGCCTCCTGAGTAGCTGAGACTACAGGCACGAACCACCCCGCTAATTTTAATTTTTTTGGGAAAGACATGCTTTCACCAGGCTTTTTTTTTTTTTTTTTTTTTTAGACGGAGTCTTGCTCTGTCGCCCAGGCTGGAGTGCAGTGGCGCGATCTCCACTCACTGCAAGCTCCGCTTCCCGGGTTCACACCATTCTCCTGCCTCAGCCTCCCGTGTAGCTGGGACTACAGGTGCCCGCCACCGCGCCCGGCTAATTTTTTTAATGTATTTTTAGTAGAGACGGGGTTTCACCATGTTAGCCAGGATAGTCTCGATCTCCTGAACTCGTGATCCGCCCGTCTCGGCCTCCCAGAGTGCTGGGATTATAGGCGTGAGCCACTGCACCCGGTCTAGGCTTTGTTTTTTAATTGAAATGGGGTCTCCCTATATTGGTCAGGTTGGTCTTGAACTCCCAGCCTCAAACAATCCTCCTGCCTCGGCCTCCCAAAGTGTTGGGATTACAGATGTAAGCCACTCTGCGTGGCTGATAACTGGATTTGAACTCAGGTCTGGGAGCCTTTCTCCTGCTCCCTCCTGCAATGGCAGTGTCTGGACTGGCTCCTGGGAATGGGTCGGGCCTGGTTAGGGAGTGGAGAGCACCTTGATTACCCCTCAAGGGACTCTGTCCAGTGACCTCCTTGGGAGAAAATCATTCACTCAGTCAACAGACACTGGCAGAAGCTGCCGTATGTTTGCTTGCGCTAAGCACTGTTGAGACCCAGACTTTTCCCTGAGGCCCCATAGTCATAGCCTGGGTGGGAGGCAGGACAGTCACAGGGCATAGAGTTATTGGTGCCGTGGAGGATATAGCCCCAAAGCCTGAAGGGCTCAGACATCCATAATGAATTGAGAAGAATAAGTATAAGTTCCCTGGGATAAACCCAGGGAAGGGCAGAAGGTGGGAAGGGTGTTCCGAGGAGAAGGAACAGCAAACACGGAGACCCAGAGGTGTCCAGGAGAGCCTGGGGTGCCAGAAGTCTGGGTGAAATTAGTCAAGGAGAGGGTGGCTGAGCGAGGTGGCCATAGCAAGGGGTGTGGGAGGGCCTTGATTAGAGCCTGTGGTCCCCCTGCAGCGGCTGGAGAGGCACGGAGCGGATGTGAGCAGGGAGGAGCATGGGCGGATTGGTGGGTTTAGAAGTTCCCTTTGCTTGCTTGCAGTGGGAGTGGATTAGGAGGCACAGCGAGGAGGTAGTGCAGTAATCAAACAGGACTGGGCATTGGCCATGGGGAGGGAAGACAAAGGGACGAGGAGAGGCAACCCCCAGCTTCTGGTGTGGGCCCTGGCTAGACGGAGGGCTGATGCAAAAGTGGGGCCCAGTGGGGAACTCCTAGGCCTGCAGAAGCCAGCACCCTGGCAAACCCATAGACCCCTGCCAGCTCCCCAACTCTCACTGCCCCCCACTCCGCCTCCCCGGGGCTGCTTACTCTGGAGTCCTGGGGGACTGTGTTTCAATGGTGACACCACTGCCACTGTTCTCACAAAGGAGAAGTTGTTCTTTCTTGCTGCTCAGCACAAACACTTAGTCAAACCAGTGGTACTCAGGGCGGTTTCCCATGCCGAGAGCCTGGAATGGCCTGAAGAAGCTCACGAAGAATCTCCTGACTCCGGCTTTCTGAACCATTATATGGCTGCGACACCTCACCTATCCCTCCCAGGAGGGCTGGGTCCTCTGAGTGCCAATCCGCCTGCCTAGGCTCAAAGCCCATCAGCAGTGGCCCATCACCTGTCCTGTGAATCCTGGACCCCAGTGGCCTCAGAGTTCTGCCATGGGGTCCCTGGCTCTGTCTTGGATCTGATTGTGTCCCCCAGGCAAGTTATGTCCTTTCTGGTCCTGAAAAACTAATGGGGGTAGAGGTGGTAGGATGGGGCAGCTGGATCAAACAGTGCTCTTTCTGGGATGCCTCCTCCCACTCCTCCTCTCCTCCTGTGCCTTTCCTCCCTCCTCCCCACCATGCAGTCACTTATTCATTCATTCAACCAGTGTTCCCAGAAAGTCTGTTCTGGGCCATACCTGGGACTTGGAGATGATTCAAACCCAGTGTCTGCCCTTGGGGAGCTTCAGTCCTGGTGAAGGTAGACTATGTAAACAAACAACCGTGATTCAATCTTTGGCCTTAGGAGCCCTTGGGAGGAAGCTGCTACTGCCTGGGGGGGGGTGGGAGAGTCAGGGAAGGCCTCAGAGGACAAGCCCTTTGCAATAAGCCTTGAAGCAGGAGGTAAACAAGGGTGGGGGTGGGTGTTAGACGGACGGTAGTGCCCTGGGAGGAGGGACTGCGTCTGCAAAGGCATGGAGGCGTCCAAGTGCTGGGTGTGTGTGAGAAAATGCAAGCAGGTCAGGGTGGCTGGTGCACGGTGCTGGGATGGGAGGTTCTGGGACCAATTGTCAAGGGCCTCGAATGCCATAGAAAGGATTTTTTTTTTTTTTTTTTTCCTCAGGATGCCATGGGCTGAGAGGTGGAGATAGGGAGGAGGTTCCTGAGAAATAAGTGATATGCTGAGAGCTGTGATTCCAAAGTGTGGAGAAGATGGACAGGAAGCTGGGGAGGAGCTTGGGATTGGGCAGGGTGGGCCGCAGACGGGAGGGGGAAAGAAGCCACGGGCCTGGGGGCTGATGGGAGGAGCCAGGGAGGTGCCTGGGGGATGACAGGAACCTGGTGTCCAGGAAGCCTGGAGCTCAAACAGGCTGGGCTGGAGACTGGGACACAGTCAAGGGTGCCAGGGTAGAGGACACTGCCCCAGCCCAGCTGGCCTGGAGGAAGAGGTCTGAGGCCCGCCCTTCCCCCATGGGCTGGGCATCTAAGAAGGGACATATCAGAAAGGGGCTTTGGAGGGTGCAGCCTACACAGGGAGCACTAAGACAGAAGTGTCAATGCCGGCCGCCCCTGCAGCTGCTGTGTTGCAACTCGGCCTGCCCCTAACAGGCCACCGCAGTGCTGTCAGTCAACTTGTTTCTGAACTCCCCCATAATCATCGTCTCCCGGTTAGCTCTGCACTCTGGGCCCTGCTGAAAACCCCCGGGAGCAGGGGCCAAAGGTTTCTAGAAAGTCTTTTATGGAAGGAAACCGTGAATGTGGGTCAACTCTCTCCATCCCTACATCACTAGACCAAAGTCAGGCCCGCGACTGCCAACACCAGCAAAATCTCACTGAGCGGAGCAGTGAGGGGAGCCCCACACGTCATCAAGGCTATGGATGCGGGTCGGGGTTCTGCCCCACACAGGGCAGGAGGCCGAGGGATGCCTGGATTTAGGGTTCAGTTGGGATCTGGCCTGAGCCTGGGAAATTCGTGAGTCCTTCATTCATTCAACAGATGAGCCGTGTGCACCACCCCAGCCATGGGGGAGATAGCACGAGGCAAATCCCATCCTCTCAGGACTCGCCTGCCACAGGGAAGTGGCAAGAACCGAATAAACATGTCCAAGTCCTCCCAGGGATGACAAGGGATGAGGGAAAGTGATGTGGGGCAAGGGGACAGATGGGAGAATGGGGTGGGGAGGACAGACCCGAATTCAGGAAGGAGGCAGTCCTCAGGGGAGGCCTGGGGCAGGCCTGGGGTGGGAGCGAAGAGGGACTTGCGGGGAGGGGCTGAGGGTCTGGATCACCCAGGGTCTTGCAGACTGTTGAGAGGCTGAGCGGCTAGAGAGTCCTGGGCATCAGCTCAGCAATCTGCAGCAGGAAATAGCCTGGCCTAAAGCTTGGACCCCAGGGTTGGAGACAGAGGTATGGATGGGCTCTGACCCCACGTCCTAAGCCAGGAAGCTGGAGCAGGCAGGCCTCGCCAGTCCCTGAGCTTTCACCACAGCCCTGCTGCCTGAGCTGCAGCTGTGTGACAGCACACTCAAGCCAGCTGCCCATGGACAGACGCCACTTGTCGACTTGTTGCTGAGTGAACACAAAGCCCAGGGGACAGGCTGAGGGCCTGGGGAAGGGCCCATCCTGCAGGGCTCTCTCCTCTCTAGCCTCCATTTCCCCCTTTGGGGAGAATGGCTGGGGACGAGGGGAACAAGGGAGGCTCAGGCCCCAGGTAGACTCTAATGGCAGACCTCACACAGCAGAGCCAACGGCAGGTGAGCCCCCTGGCCAAGGGGAAGTGGGATCAGGGAGAAGCGTTATGATGAGAACAGCAGGGAAAATAATTTTCAGAGGCCATGCCCTCCCCATGGCTCCTGAAAAGCTAATGGGGGTAGAGATGGTAGGGTAGGGCAGCTGGATCAAACGGTGAAACTGTGAAACAGTGAAACTCCCCTGTGAAACTGAGGCCCAGGGCCAAATGGTAACAGGCCAGAGGCATTGACAGAGCAGGTCTGGGCCAGGCTCCTGCCCCTAGCCCTGTCTTGCCCACCCCAGGTGCCCATGTCTATGGGGAGAGACACCAAGTGTCCCTCTCTCAAACAGATGACGTGGGCTGCGTGGTGCCATCCGAGTGCCTGCGGGCCTGTGGGGCCGAGGTCGGCTGCTCCAACATCGCCTACCCCAAGCTGGTCATGGAACTGATGCCCATCGGTGAGGCTGTGTGGGTGGGGGTCTGGGTGGAAGGCGTGGGTTGGGACCTGGGGCCCAATGAGTGTGGGGACTGTGGAGGCCACTGTGGATCCAGTATGATGCTGGGTGACATCCAGGTGGGCTGTTCTGCTCCTAGGAGAGGAGAACAGAAGCACTTACAATAGAAAACACTCGAACACCCACTGCATGCCACCACCATCCCCAGGGCTTCCCAGGTGATGCACTGGCCTCCTCTTCTCGGGAACCCCTAGTGCTGTTAGTATCATCCCCATTTTTATTTTTATTTTTATTTTTCTTGAGATGGAGTTTTGCTCTTGTTGCCCAGGCTGGAGTGTGATGGTGTGATCTCAGCACCCCACAACCTCCTCCTCCCGGGTTCAAGCTATTCTCCTGCCTCAGCCTCCCAAATAGCTGGAATTAAAGGCGTGTGCCACCACACCTGGCTAATTTTTGTGTTTTTAGTAGAGACGGGGTTTCACCATGTTGACCAGGTTGGTCTCGAACTCCTGACCTCAGGTGATCCACCCGCCTCGACCTCCCAAAGTGCTGGGATTACAGGCGTGAGCCACCGCACCTGGCCTATATCATCCCCATTTTAAAGACAGGGAAACTGAGATCCAGAGAGGTTAAGTGACCTGGTCCAAGTCACATGGCAAGTAAGCTGCAAAGCTGGGATTCTGACCCGACGCATCTGCCTGCACACCTTGACCTCCTATCTCTTGCTGTACCATCTCTTGAGAAAGGCCACCCACTCTCTCCTCTTGCATGCCTACTGGGCGCCAGGCCCTTTACTAACAGTTTCTCATTAAATGCTATGAGATAGGGTTATTGGCTCCATTTTACAGATGGGGAAACTGAGGCACAGAGAGGGGAAAGTGACTTGTCTGAGGTTATATAGTCACTGAGACACAAACCCAAGACACAAACTGCTTACTCTGCTGGGATCAGGACCCCCCCACTACATCTGCAGGCATGAGTGCCCATCCTCTGCACCGCCCCGCCCTGAGACACTGCAAGCCGACAGGTAGAACTAGTGGGCAGGTTTTGGCTTTTTCCATGTTTCTCGTGGTAGCAGCATCCCTGCTATTCTAATGTGGGGTGATGAGTTCCCCATCACAGGAGGTATGCAAGTTCCCCATCACAGGAGGTATGCAAGTTCCCCATCACAGGAGGTATGCAAGTTCCCCATCACAGGAGGTATGCAAGGTGGAGGAAGCAACATGGCAAGGGGTGTGGGAGGTTCAACCCTAAGCAAAAAGCAGAAACAGTTTCCTGAGCCTTTGGCAGCCCAAGCTTTTCCTGTACAGATTCTCAGGTGCTGGAGCTTTCCCTGGTCCCCCTCCCTCTGACCCCCTCCCTCTAATTCCCTCTTCCTGGAAGCTTTCAGTCCCTCGGGTGAGCCCCACCCTGCTCTTTCTTCCTCTCCTTCCCTCCCTCCCTCCCTCCCTCCCTCCTGCAGAGCTCAGGCCTAATGGAAGTGAGTACACAAACCTAGGATCAGATCTTGGCTCTGCCACTAGCTGGCCAAGAAATTTGGGGCATGTCACTTCCCTGCTTGGAGCCTGGGTGTCCTCATCTGTAAATTGGAGATAATGGCATCTACCCAGCCCTCAGCGTTGTTGCTGGGATTAAACATAATGACATTGGGAAAATGCAGGCTTGGCCACGCTGTGGTTCCCACCTAAGGGCTTCGCTTTTCTCTTCTGTTCTGGGCAAAGGGACTTGCTAAGTCCCCCGGGGCTGACACTGAGCCATTGTTGGGCCACAATCCCTCTCTAGGCCCTGAGTTCCCTCTCTCAGAAATGGATGGAATAAGCTCCAAGTTCATCCATCTCCATGAGCAAGACAAGGGGGCGGGTGGAGAAATGTTTTGGGGAAAACTGTGATTTGACTCATTTTCCTTTGGGCTCCATCCTAGTCAGCTTCTGACAAGTGAACAGAGAGCCCAGAGACTCCTGGAAGTCACACAGCCAATCAGACGCAGAACCGAGGCCAGAGAACCCAGCCAGGCAATAAATGGCTGTGCCTTCGGGACAGGGAGGCCAATGCCAGGCTTATCCTAGGACAGACGGGCAAAAGTTTGTAGAGGTAAAGGAGTTGCTTAAAATTGTAGGAGTCCTTGTAGACAGACTTGAACTTGTCCCCAGAGAGGGGAGGTGACCAGCCTGAAGCCACACAGCAGAGAGCGGGCAGTTCAGCATCGTTCCACCTTCTTTAGGGTTCCTCACCCCCAGGCCCTCTTGAGCCTACAACTCCCAGAAGGCCTTTCACAGCAATGCTACCCGCACCTCCTAGGGGAGCCCTCACTCCCACTCTGGAAAACCACAGAGCCAAGGAGAGAGGGGATCCACTATGCCTGCTGGGTCCTGCCATGCACAGGAAGTGGTGGAAAATTCCAGATACTGGGGCACTGCATGCTGGGGTAAGGTGTGCATCTTGCCCAGGGTGTGACCTTCAAGCAAAGGCCCCGCCCAAGCCTTCCTCACCAACCCCACCGCACCCCAAAGTTCTGCCTCTGGCCTGCTGTGAGTCCCTGGGCAATCTCTTCCCTTCTCTGAGCTTCCATTTCCTCATCTGTCAGGCGGGTTAATCACGCTTTCCTCAGACGGAGGCATGGGTGTGAAAGTGCTTTGTCAACGCCAGGCTCTGCAGAAAGGAGAGGTCTGATCGCGGCCTCAGCATTATGAGTAATTACGGTTGGGCCTAGGGTTGCCAGCAAGCCTAGGGCTCAAGCAGCCAGCTCCGAAGTCCCCACGGTTTGTCCTTGGCCTCCCCAGTCTCCTCATTTTGGGTCTTGCTCACCTCAAACCTCCTCAGCTTCTCTCCCTCCTGGCCCTCTGCCTGGAGGGGCATGGGAATGGCAGGCAGGCCTCAGGCAGTAGACCTCAGGCTGGAGGGGCTCCCGGGGCTGTTACCGGACAGGGTCACGCATCCCCCGTCCCACCCCAGGTCTTCGGGGGCTGATGATCGCAGTGATGCTGGCCGCGCTTATGTCGTCGCTGACCTCCATCTTCAACAGCAGCAGCACCCTCTTCACTATGGACATCTGGAGGCGGCTGCGGCCCCGCTCCGGCGAGCGAGAGCTGCTGCTGGTGGGACGGTATGGGGGTGGGGGAACGGTACGGGGGTGGGCGCCGGCACTGACTTTGAGGGATGAGCGGGAGTTTGCCACTTAGAGAAAGGTGGATTCCAGGGAGGAGTGAAGAGAAGGGCCCAGTGTACCCCGTCCATACCACCTCTCACATTGCTCTCCTGTCCACCTCTGTGTGATCGCAGCCCTCATCTGGGATGCGTCTCCACCCCCGAGCTGGATTCCCTCTGCAGGGGCCAGCCCTCTCTCCCCAGCCATACTACAGATCTCTCTATCTTCCCCAAAACCTGGGCCCCCATTCCTCCTGTGGTTCCCAGCTGCCCCACAGAGGGCCCCCGTGCTAGCACTCAGGGCTGGCCACACTTGAGCTGCCACATCCCTCAGCCTCCATGGCCTTGGCCCCACTGAGCTCCGGCTTGTTTCCTCCCAGCCCAGCTTGTCCCCTCCTTTTACACCTTGATGACTCACGCTGATCTTTCTACACTCTACCTGTGTCCCCTCCTCCATGCAGTCCTCCTTGAGACCCTCAACCAAGGAATGAGCCCCTCTCCCCTTCATACCCCAGGAACTCTTGCCAGATTCTTCCCACAGCACATGTGGCCATTATAGGCCAAGAGACCTCCCCGACACCCTTCTCTACGTATCTGGGCTCTTCATGCGGACCAGGGCTGTGTCTGGGGAACAGGTGGTGTTTGGTTCCATGAATAAGTTCTTTAGTGGTGATTTCTGAGATTTTGATTTTGGTGTACCCATCACCTGAGTGGTGTACACTGTACCTAATGTGTAGTCTTTTATCCCTCACACCCTCCCAGCCTTTCCCCTGAGTCCTCAAAGTACATTGTATCATTCTTTTTTTTTTTTTTTTTTTTTTTTTGAGACAGAGTCTCGTTCTGTTACCCAGGCTGGAATGCAGTGGTGCGATCTTGGCTCCCTGCAACCTCCACCTCCCGGGTTCAAGAGATTCTCGTGCCTCAGCCTCTTGAGTAGCTGAGATTACAGGCTCCCACCACCACGCCCGGCTACTTTTTGTATTTTTAGTAGAGATGGGGTTTCACCATGTTGGCCAGGTTGGTCTCGAACTCCTGACCTCACGTTATTCACCTACCTCAGTGGGCTGGGATTACAGGTATGAGCCAGTGTGCCCAGCCCATTCTATCATTCTTATGCCTTTACATCCTCAGAGGTTAGCTCCCATGTGCACGTGTGTGTCTATTTGCACCCTCCCTGCCCCTCTAGTCCCTCCCTCCTGTTGTCCTCTGAGCAGTGTGGCCCACACTCTGCTGGTCAGGGTTCTAGCCTTCTGGCACTTAGCTTGGCCAACAGTGAACCCCCTGGTCAGGAGCCCAGGGCACCCATCCTGGGGGTGGGGTTTCCTTCCGAGCTCCAGGCAGCCGTCCTGGGGATGCAAAGCAGTCAGACTTCTGTTGGAAGGGCCCTGTTGGGACATGTCAGAGGCGGGTGCGAGTGAGCTCATCCATGGGCTCACAGGATCCTCCAAAACAAGGAGCCTCCCGCCTCTCACTGGGCAGGACACTTCCATGTCCCTGTGTCCTGGGCACTTGGCCCCTTGACCTCCTCTCCCCCTCTGGCTCCCCTGCCTCTCCTCAGAAGCCATGTGGCCTGGGGAAGACCCTGCACCTCTCTGACGATGCGTCTCCTCTGCGGCCAGACCTTGCTCTAAGCCCCTCCATGCTCCAGCATCCTGGGCCCTGGGACCTGGATGCCCTTCTGCCACCCAGTGTGTGACACTGGTAGCCCCTCTACCTGCCCAGTGGCCCTCATGTCCCCTGCCCACTACTTCCTGGTCTCCTCACCCAGACTCCCACCTGCAACCAAAGTCCTGACCTGGCCTCCTGCTGTGCCAGCTCACCCACCCATACAGCTGCCCAGGCCCTTGACTCTCCTTCCCACCTCTTCTGCCAAGTCAACCCCCCGCCCCCAGCCCTGCAAGCCTGGAGTTCAGCCTCCCTGAGGAGCAGGGCACAAGGCTGTGTGGTGCGGGGCAGGTTGCTCACCCTCTCTGGGCCCCAGTTCTCTCAGCTGCCAGCTGGTTAGAGCAGAAAGGGCCCTGTGCCAGGTGTCAGGCTGGCCAGTTCGACTTCCCCTCCCTCTTACAGCACTGGGATACCCTCAACACCCCCAGCCCCTCAAAGTCGTCTCAGCCTCCTCCTGCCCTAACCACTACCATTGGAGTGGTATCTCCTAGGCCCCCGTGGGTCATGGATCTCTGGTAGGGTGAATGGCCTGACAAGAGCCTCCGTCAGGGAGAGGCAAGGCTTAGAGAGAGAAGACCAACAGTCCAGAGGCCTGGAGAGGAGGCCATTGCAGGGCCGGGTACAGGACCATGCCAGTGCCATGATGGCTCCGTCCAGCTAAGCAAAGGCTGGAGGAGCTGTCACAGGTTGGGGAACAACGATGACCACTCCCCGGCTATTTGCCTGCCCCAAGCCCCCACACCCCAGTCCAACATTCTGCCACTGCCCTCCCCACTCTCCCCTGTCTGTGGTCCTGGCTGTTCAGTCCACAAATGGGGCCCACGGCCTCCCGGGAACCCTGTACAGCACTCAGAGAGATCTCAGACACCCCTCCTTGAGAGGTTCCACGGTAACTGTGGCTGCAGCCCAGAGAGATGCGGGAGGGCACTGTCCACCCTGATGGTGGCATGGGAGGGGGTAGCATTCCAGGCAGAAGGAACAGCCTCTGGGTTTGGGGGTCCTCTGGCAGACTAGGTAAGAAGGCTGCATAAGAAGGCGAGGGCCTGGCTGGAGTGGCCCGGGTCCTGGCACAGAGATGCAGAGTCTGGTGTTGGGCGGGAGAGCTGTGTGCAGAGGGCGGGGTGGGCAGGCGTTAATGGAGGCCCCCCTCGGCCTTTGATGAGGGCAGCGCCCGCCTGCCTGCCTGGCTAGGGGTTAATTAGCCTTAATCAAGGTGGCACCTCCTTCCTCCACCCTCTCCCTCAGGCCTAGAAGGGAAGAAAGGGAGGGAGGAAGACGAACAGGCGCAGAGAGGACCCACCCTAGCTGAACACATAGCCTCTGTCATCCCTGCCACCACAGCCAGGGTTCCAGCGGGTCACCCACCACCCACCTTGGGGATGAGGAATGACAACTGACCCAGGACACAGGGGTGAGGTGCTCAGCCAGGAAGGAGCAGATGGATGCCTTGCCCCAGCTTTGTCCCCTTAGCTGGGTCCCATGCCCCTCAAGGCTCTTGGGGGGGGGGGCTCCTCCTGGAAGCCCTCCTAGATTGATGTTTCCCCTGTGCTGCTCCAGCCCAGCCCTGAGTGTAGGTAACAGGCTCATCTGTTTTCTTTGCTGGACTCTTGAGTGCTGGGCAGGCACCAGGTCCCACTCATCGCCCAGCTGGGGATCCTAGGGTAGTGTCCTACCCAGGTGGGCACTCGCCAGTGGCTCGTTGGATGAACAAGTGAAGCATGTGCCTGCTGTGGAGGGGCTCTGGCCTAGGGGAGAGGCGGGCAGGAGCTGACACGCAGGGGACAGGAGGGGACAGGCTCATGCTGGCCCAGCAGAGCTCCAGCTTCACAGCTGGGGAGTATAGGCTCTAACCCCAACCCACACCTCTGGCTCCAAACCTTGCATCCTTAGTAGGGAGGTTGCCCTGTGAAGGATGTGCGGCACAGGCCTGTAGGGGTGGGGATGTGCCAGCCAGAGGTCCCAGCTCCCGCAAAGGCCGGCCGGTGTGAAAAAGCCTAGTGTCTTCAAAGAACCACCAGGCAGTCAGTCTGGCCCGGATGTGGGGGCAGTGGTCATTCATGCACTCAGCAAATGCTTAGTGAGCACCTACTGTATGCTGGAAGACACAGCAATGAACTAAAGGGATGAGGCTCCTGCTCTCCTAGTGCTTCCAGTCGGGAGGGGAAGACAGGCAGTAAACAAGTAGACACCCAGGTAAATGTGCGTGTAGTGGTTGGGACAGGTGCTTTGAAGGAGAGACAAGAGGGAGAGGCTGGGTGGCTATGGCAGAGCTCCAAGGGCTGGCTCCACAGAGAACCCAGGGCAGGGAAGGAGCAGACAGCACTTAGAGTCAGGAGCTACACCTGCAGGAGCCAGGGAGCTGCCAAAGGGTTTGGAGCAGGGCAGGACTGGCCAGGTCACCAGTGGCACGGACCAGAGGCCAGGGAGGGGCTGGAGCTGGGGTAGCAGGGGAACGATTAGAGAGCAAGTCTTAGTGACCAGGGGAGGTGGGAGAGGGCTGAGGAAGAACCTCCCAGGACGACCGCTGCCTGCCTTCCACCTGCCCACAGGCTGGTCATAGTGGCGCTCATCGGCGTGAGTGTGGCCTGGATCCCCGTCCTGCAGGGCTCCAACAGCGGGCAACTCTTCATATACATGCAGTCAGTGACCAGCTCCCTGGCCCCACCAGTGACTGCAGTCTTTGTCCTGGGCATCTTCTGGCGACGTGCCAACGAGCAGGTGGGTATCGGGGGACAGGACTAGGTGGTCTGCTCTCCCTAGGGACATGCCACAGTTTGCTCTTCCCTGCTGCCTGTCAGGGGATCCTTGGTCCTCTTCCCATAGCCCCACATGCCCTGTCTCCCTCCTCCCCAGGGGGCCTTCTGGGGCCTGATAGCAGGGCTGGTGGTGGGGGCCACGAGGCTGGTCCTGGAATTCCTGAACCCAGCCCCGCCCTGTGGAGAGCCAGACACGAGGCCGGCCGTCCTGGGGAGCATCCACTACCTGCACTTCGCTGTTGCCCTCTTCGTACTCAGCGGTGCTGTTGTGGTGGCTGGAAGCCTGCTGACCCCACCCCCACAGGGTGTCCAGGTGAGCCAGCCCTGACCCCTGACCCTGACCCCTAACAGTTTCTTACTCTGGTCCTATTCTGATCCCCGACCCGCTCTGACTCAGAATTTTCTAGCCCTGGACTCCCTAACCCCATCCCTTTTGGAACTCAGCTGCCATCTTGCCATCCCCAACCTCTGATCCTGTCTGGGTCACCCCTACCCTGCCAGCCTCACCCCATCCCTATCCCCACTGGTTTCTTACAGATTGAGAACCTTACCTGGTGGACCCTGGCTCGGGATCTGCCCTTGGGAACCAAAGCAGGTAAGTGGGTGACCTTAGACACTCCTCCACCTTGACCCTGGGCTGGAGGCAAGGGCACCAGGTGTAGCCTTGTGTCCTTCATCTGTCCCTCTCCTTCTGCAATCCCCTCCAGGTGATGGCCAAATGCCCCAGAAACACGCTTTCTGGGCCCGTGTCTGTGGCTTCAATGCCATCCTCCTCATGTGTGTCAACATCTTCTTGTACGCCTACTTCGCCTGACACTGCCGCTCTGGGCAGGAAGGCAGGAGCTCCGAGTCCTCAGGTCCACCCTTTTCCCTCATGGGGATCGCGAGGCCCCAAGAGGGGCAGATTCCCCTCACGGCTGCACAGCGGCTCGGTGCCCAAGAACTGGCCAAGCCAGCAAAGCAGGAGCCCTGAAAACTTAGGGGGGAAATGGGAGAAAAACATGTGACATTTCAAAAACAGCGCCAAAGCAGTCATCATTGGAAAGAAAATTAGATTTCTGATGGACATCCTGATGTTGGTTTTACTGTCTTTGTTCTGAATACACAGGCCAGGTCAGGAGCAGTGAGATTTGCCAGCACTCAGGGCTCTAGGGTCTTGGGCCATCTCTGGATAAAGGGAGAGCCCCACATGCCCAGAACAAGGCCTCCCATTAAGGGACTGTAGCCACCTCCAGGGGCTCCTCCCTCCACCCACCTGCTCCCAAATGCCAGAGGGAGCCTCCTTGCCCTCCCTCCCTGCCCACCATCCCCTCAACCATCAGCCTGGCGTTTAAAGCCTTTCCAAGTCCCACCTCACTTTTCCCGCTCCCAAAGGTGCCCAGGCTCTGGGCAGGCCCTGCTCATATCCCTGATGGTGGTACATTCTCTGGAGGACCCTCCTGTTCTCAGGTAGGGGCCGTGCCCCACCTAGGTAGCTGTCCCATTGGGATCCTGTAAGATCTCTAAAACCCAGCTCTGGCACCAACTTTCTGTCTGGCCTGGAGGTTTCTCAGCCTCCTGAGAGCTCTCCTGGGCCCTGGTCTGGGCAGACCTGGGCCTAAACAAACAAGAGCCAGGGCAGCCAGGGTCTCTGCGTGGCTGGGCCCAGGGCTTGCCCTCAGAGCTCATCTGTCCAACAGGAGAGGAGTGTGCCTCCACCTTCCCTACTGCCAGCCCCTTTTTCAGGGTCTCAGGGCCTCTAGTCCTGTGGCGGGGTGCGGGTGCTGGGTGCCCCAGGTGGAATTGAAGTCATGGGGCTGTTGAGGAGCGGTGTCCACCTGGAGTCTGTCCACTGAGTTTAGGTCAACAGGTGTGCAGTCTATCCTTCCAGGTTGAGCCACCTCCCAACAGCCCGTACAACTCAAGGGGCCTTTTGAGGGAGGGGCAGGCAGGCCCAGTGGGTGGTCAGCCCAAGGTGTACCCACCCACCATGGCCAGGGTTCCTCAGGTTGAGCCTCTGGTGGGTGAAACCTGGGAGTCCTCAACCTTCCTGGCAGATGGGACCATTGACCAGAGGAGGTGGGTGAGGCCTCCACAGACTTCGCCCTGTCGTGTCACACAGCTGGCAGCCAATGGGAAGCAACCAGCCAGGAAGCCCCAGAGCTACCCTTACAGGGTACCCTTGCTGGGGAACCTGGGCCATCCCAATTTGTGCAAAGTGGCTGGAGGCAGTTGGGAGCCCACATTCAGTCCAAAGCCGTCCACTGAGCCCCGTGTGACTCTGACCGGGCTGGGGGTGTCCATGTCCTCTCTGGACCTCAGTTCCTGTAAAATGGCCCGTCGGCCAGATCGGCCGCCGGGCTGCTCACAGGTGCACGGGCTGCACATAACTCCGTGGAAAGAAGCCAACGCGCCCGCAGGACCGGCCTCGCCACCAGTGGGGGTCTGGGCGCTCCAGGACCTCGATGATGTCGCCACGGCGGAAGCTGAGCTGCGAGGGGTCCTGGGCTGAGAAGTCAAACTGGGCCTGGGCAAAGCAGGCCCCAGGTGACTGCGAGAGGAGGAGGTGGTTAGTAGGGCGTCTTCAGAAGCCCTGCAACCCACCCTCCCTCAGAGGCACCCAAGAGAAGTGATTTGCCACAGGTGAGGAGGGGTCTGGGGCAGCACTGAAGTTGAACTTTAAGTCCAGATCAGTGGTGGTGCCACCACTGGGCCTCCTGCTGCCCACACCCCTGCCTGTCTGCTGTGCAGATGCTGCATCTACCTAGAACACGGCTTTCCCAGCCGCCCAGCTGGGATCATAGGGCTGGTGGGCCAGGGGACCTGAGTCCTGGTCCTTAGGGTGGGATTTTGGTTAGGTCCCTGCTTCTCTTGGGATCCTATTTCCCTGACTCTGCAGTAGCCATGGTAGCTTCTGACTCCAGGTCACAAAGCCATGAGAATGGGCCTTATAAACTGTAAAGTGATATGCAGCTAAGAGCCATGTTTACTGCTTTTGCCCTTGGTCAGCCACTGAGGGAGAGAACTGTCACTTTGAGCTCTCAGGCCTGGGTTCCAGTCCTATCCATGCCCCATGTGTGATGCTGGGTAGGTCCCTGCCCTTTGTGGAACTCAGTTTCCCCACCTGTGCGTGGCAGCTGGACAGGAGCTCTCGGCAGCACGTCTGCCCGGCACTGTGACTATTCCACCCAGCACCCTGGCCCTGCCTGCCCACCAGGATCTCAGCTCTGAACCTGCAGAATCTCATCCAGGGCGGGTGATAGGATCAGCAGAGAAGCTGTAATTAGCAACTGTCTGCCCAGGAAGGAGGAGGCGTCATGGGTCCCAGGGGCCTGAGGCAGCTCTGGAGTCGAGCCACAGGGTAGGTGACCCCATGGCCTGGGCCAGAGCGAGGTGGTGGGTGTAGGGGAACTCTCAGTTGCCCCTGCCCCAGCTCCATCCTGGCTTCCTCACACTCTCCCAGGGCAGAGCTGGTCCAGGCAGTGAACAGGGAGGAGGATGGAGATCTGGCAGGCAGGGGCCCACCTGGAGAGAAAAGTCCCCAGAGGCTGGGAGCTCACAGTGACCTGGGCACTCAGTCAGGCAGGGAAGGCCAACAGAAGAGAAACTAGTGGGGGTCTCTCAAGGCACGGTTTGACTCTCCTGGCATATCAGACCCCAGGGCTCATCCTATTGAACAGAGGGGACACTGAGGGGATGAACTGGCCTCTGATCACATGCAAAGGTGGCAGGGGGCGGGTGCTGGGAACAAGACATGGCTGGAGCTTCTTTGCAGCGGTTATCAGCTTCTCCCCAGGCCTTGGCTACACTCCCCATCTCCTCTGCAGAGCCCAAGTTCAAGTGTCCCAGGGTCTTGACCTCCAGCCCCAGGCCTTGCCAGCATCCCCGCTCCTGAAGAAAACAGCCTGTTGGGGTTGATAACCCCAGTGGCTACTGTCGGCATCCTAATCAGCTTCAGAGCTGGCCCTTGGGGCCGCCTGATGAAAGGGCTGGCTGGCAAATTGCTGTTATTGCGAGGTCAAGGGGTGGACGACCCCCACCCCCCACCCCGTGGCTAGCCAGGACCTCGCCCATGAGCACTCCCGCTGCCCCACACCCAAGGTCAACTTTTCTGCGAGCAGAAACCAGGACTGAGCCTACTGAGTAAGTGTCCTTGGATGTGTCACTGCACTCTCTGAGCCTTGGTTTCCTCATCTATATAATGGGCACGATGAGGCTCCCAGAGTATAGAGACCAGTTCAGTGCATGGTACGCAGTACACTCAGCGGGGGTCTCTACCTTCCTGCACTCGATGAACATTTATTGAGCACCTACTGTGTGCCACACACTATTCTAGGAGCTGAGAACAAGCTAGACAGTTTGTCCCCATGGGATTCTCCTTCTGTCCCTTGCTTTTCTTTCCCTCTTCTCCTTTCCCACCCTTGCAAGTCTCACCACAGCCACCACCAGTATATAACTTTGAAGCCTGGGCTGGACCCCTCTTACAACACCAGGCTGCTGGGGAAGGGAGACCAGGCCCATGCTTGGCCTCGGTGTCAGCATTTCCTCTGCTGCAGATGGCAGGAGACACAGAGAGGCTCCCACAGGCCAGCCCCCACCCACTCCTACCTTGAGCAAGGGATCCTCGTCGCGCAGGAAGATCTGCCGCTTCTTGGCGATGGTGGTGGTGCGGTAGAAGTCGACCAGCTCGTTGAGGGAGTTGAACTTCTCCTCCCACAAAAAGTACTTCCCAGAGGCCTCGCGCAGCACCTTGAAGTGCTGCACTTGGTCTCCATAGCTAGGGGAAAGGACATGGGGCCACCTCAGATGGTGGCCGTCCCAGCCTGGCATGGTCCCAGGGGCTCCCGTCTCACTTCCACCTGGAACCAGCCTGTCTCAGGGTGGGACCTGGAGTCAGATAAGGTGCAAATGGGAGAGGCCACACTGAGCCAGCTCCCCATGGGGTCTGGGGAGTCCCATCTGGCGGTGGAATATGGGGTTAAGGGTGTGGGCTCTGAACCAGGTCACTTTCTCACTGTGTGACCTCATGCAAGTCTCTTAACTTCTCTGAACCTCAGTTTCCTCATAGTGATAACATCTCCATTATGGGTAAGTGCACAGTGGCTGGCATATTGGCAACGTGAAATAGGTACCTCTGAGTGTGTCGTGATCAGAGAGCGTCTCCTTCACATCTTTTCGCCATTCGCCTCAGCTTGGACCTTCTCCCTGCTCCCCTGCTCCTCCCAGTCCCCATGGTCCCTTGGGGAGCAAGTCCTAGACTCATCCTGACTCAGACCAAAGCCTACTGCTATGAGAGGAGCTCAGACCTGTTGGATGTCTCATGTCCTCCCCCTCCCACGAACCTTCTATGGCTTCTCCCTTGGCCTCAGGGTAAATTCTCAACACCTCAGACTCAAGATCCGGCTCTACTTACATGTCCAGCTTCATTTACTTTATATCCTCTCCGATGAAGCAAACAGGCCCCTTTCTCTCTTATTCCCAGTCTGTGCCCAGACTTCCAGTCCACTACCGCCAAATCACCCCAAGTACCTTCTGGCCCAGTGGAGGAGAGAGCCTGCTCTTTCAAACTGGCCAGAGGCAGAGCCTGTCCTAGCTGGGACCAGGCAGAGGGACCTAACTGGAGCCTCTCACACTCGGCATGTCTCACCCGGGACAGGCCACGTGGGGCTGGGACTGGAGGTGGTGCGGCTGTGGGTCAAGATCATGGCAGACATGACTACGGCGCTGCCCCGCTGTGCTGCGGGGGTGGCTGGCCTGCCTCACGGCCCAGGAGGAGCAATTGGGCCCTGTGTTTTAGTTTCTCCACCCGTCATCCCTGGGGTGGCTTGCTGCTTTATTGATGTTTTAAGATGAAAGATTTCAGATAAAGATATGTTCAAGGCCGGGCAAGGTGGCTCACGCCTATAATCCCAGCACTTTGAGAGGCCGAGGCAGGCAGACCACGAGGTCAGGAGATCAAAACCTTCCTGGCTAACACGGTGAAACCCTGTCTCTACTAAAAATACAAAAAAAAAAAAAAAAAAAAATTAGCCAGGTGTGGTGGCGGGCGCTTGTAGTCCCAGCTACTCCAGAGGCTGAGGCAGGAGAATGGCGTG